GAACTTAGGTTATTTCCCCCATGTGCTTTAAAGTTAATCGAGTAATCTGACTTGGAAAATATATCTTATTTTCGGAAGAAAGTATTAAAAGTATTGTCAGTGATTTACAATGGTATCATGTGGTAAGCAGACGTGGATCTACCGCTGATTCTAAATTATAGAGAAAATAAACCACATGTTTCGATGAAATAAAAATGAGCATTTATGCGAAATAAAGTTGCGCTTGTGTTATTTGTTGCGTGTTCGGCAAAATTGGTTAACAGTTAAGGGGAAACGTTATATACAAGTTCTTCAAGTAACAAAAATGGATATTGCTACAGTAAAATAATGAACATTATTGTTTTACTGTACAGGATTTTTGAAACTTTATTGAGAATTTTTTTCTGCATACAAAAGATTTATTGAGCTAGTATGTTGCTAAACTTAGCAATGTTCAATTTTTCTAAAACACTTGACGTTTTATAAAGTCCTTTATCAATAAAGAAAAGAAGTCATCGTCTTTGTGACGCAATAAAGGCAACTAAAAGAAGTGCAAACAAACAATTAAATTGTTCCGTATAGAAATTAAGGATGCAATATATCATTTATATACATACAGAAATAAAGGCTGAAGAATAATGTCACTATTTTGTGACCCAGTCACGTTCACTCGGACCCCCGTTATGTTCTACCGTAACATATATATACATCATGTTTAACATACAATGACAGCATTTGTTCCCGATGTATTGTCTTGTCCAGATTCTTTGAAAATGTAGATTTTTTAACAATAATAGATTGTGATGTTGTTTGCAATTTAAGTGAGGTTCGAACATTTTATGTTCAGTGGCTAGTTTGAGATATATAAGCTAAAACAATATGATTGGTTGATTTTGACACAGGATAGTGTATTGTTCAAGTAGATGAAAAATAAACTGTCGTGGAATGGCAGCTAAACCATCGGTGTAAAAATAGGGTTGCTGTGAATTTCTTGAAAAAAATATGTTTGAACATTGTAATAGTATTGAGATTGATACTAGAACTTTTAAGGCTTGACATCGTCTAGCAGGCGGTGATATAAGTAGATAAGTAGATAATATACAATGCTACAATGAATAGACCCAATCTTACGACAGCAAACCTCCTTCAAGTCCACTCATCGTACTAATATTTATTTACGAAGGACCATAAACACATATAAATTCCACTCCAGATATTTATGTATACTTGTTCAGTAAATCTTTGGTCAATATATCAATGCAGTATATAATCCTTGTTAATACAAAATAACGTGTACTAGATGGTCAAACTGACCCAGCCTGGTTTTATGGAAGGATTAGGATAGGACTTTGTTATACATTAAAATATATACACATAGACACAGGATAAAATATATAAGTATTAAAACATAAATACTGAATTTTAATCTTCTAAGATTCTACGTCATTATATATACCTTTTTTACATATAACTTTACCGGCAAACTGGTGCATATCGTGCGGTATTTTCCATGAGTTGCAATATTTTGCTATTTAGCCATTTAACAGAATTAAAGAGAGTATAATGGATACAAGCCAGCAAGTTATTGTAAATGTACCCGATATTAAGATTGTTGGTGCTGTGTAACGAAGGCTTTCTTTTTTATATCTTCTAGCATCATTGTTTGATTATATGTTGAAAAAGATGAGCATTCTATATAAGAAACTGCAAGTATTCAGCTGTTATCGATTGGTTGTGAAGATGATTTTAATTTATAACTGCTTTGTGGAATAACCCTGGCGTATTATATACGTATTCACAAAAAAAACTTCTACTTATTGCGAAAATCAGCGCAACTGGCTTGGGTATAAAAATAAGTTAAACTGCCTTGAATTATTACTTGACATAATAAAACTGCATTAATGCAGAATAACGAGAACTTAAAGATGAAATTTTAAAAGATTAAATGTGCACATAATATCATAGAATTAAATGAAAGACGTATGGTTTAGACTTTAATGGGCTTACAATATGAACTAGTTATACTAAAATAACTTAGAATAATTATTTTGAAAATATTTAATGTGTTGCACGTGTTATTATGTTGTTAATAAGTTGGCAATATACACGAGGGACTAACCAATGAAGTCTTCAAAATGAAAACAATTTAGAAGAGGGAGGGTAGTGAGCAATTTTGGTTGTTTAAGAGTTAAGTTCTTACATTTCAGTATATATATCTGACAATATGCATGCCTCACTGTATTCGTATTAAAGATTGTCTCATTACGTCATGTATATCATGAAATGAGTGCAAAATAAAGAAATAAGAACATAAAAGACAAAACATTTATCTGTCTGTTCAAGCACTTTTTTGTTCTATTTAAATCTTGCACAAAACCAACTTTTCGTAAAAATGAAACTAAATTTGTGACTATATTTGCAGTTATTGGAAAAAAAAAGAATCTGTCCATTGTATGGTTTTGCAGCATGATAACCACAATAATGTGCGAACAGTTTTACATTGTACATGTACTTTAAATATACATGAAAATACTGATTCAATTGTTACTTCTTTTAACATGGGGTTATAACTGGTAAAAGTGTTTTCTAGTCATCGGTCACTATCTTAGCTTTCACAATTGTGGAGACGTTGTTAAAAGCACGTAGAGAACATGCCAGTAACCATCTTCTGTCCAATAAGATTTTGTTCCTCTAATCCATTCTTATATATTTATTATTACATTGTATTCATTTTGATATATTAATTATATATATCAAAATAAAGTACACGTAACATACTAAACACCATCTTGCGTATAGGTGAATAGTAACTATAGTATTTGTTAAAAAATCAATGGTTTAAACATATGTAGCTATAGTTTAGGTTGCATAAATATGATTATGATACAGTCACTGACTAGCCTTCTGGAGAATCTTAATCAATTTTTATTTGATAAATTAGAGGTTCATTACAATAAAACCATAACTTCTTCTTTGAGTTTGTTTAGTTACGACTGTATGGAGATGATCGCTAACTGATCATAAAGTTTATAGACCGTAAAGACCTTGAATTTCATCTTAATTCATAAGATATTTTTTGTGCTTTTGCGTTTCATTCTTATTTTTGCTGAATGGAATAACGAACCCAAAGATCGTATTTGTGAACAAGGCGAAACACAAAAAACCCAAACGAGAAATTTAGGGAGAAGAAATTTTAATGATAGTGATGCGATTTTATCTTAATGATATAGTGTTACCTAAGTTGCACTTAAAATTTAATTAAATGAGGTTGAATGCACGCAGTTAAAAACATGCCTGAGTGACAGGTATTTGCTGATCAGTGCGTTTTTTAAAAGTTTTTGTCGTGTTCTTTCTCAAAGTTAAACTTCACTGAAGTTTCATTTTACTTTAATAAAAATGTAAACGGAATAAAAATGTGCAATAAGAAATGGCAGATGATAAAGTTCGAGCATTGTTTTTTACATAATGGCAGGCTTTCTTTTCTAAAATAAGGTCAAACCTAGTTTTTTATGCACCAACGTTTCGTTTTCACTGTAATGTAGTTTTTGAAACCTGAAATAAGGTCTAACAAAGTGTTTTCTGCAGCCTCGTATTCGCTGTTAGTTACAGAGTTAAAAGTACTTATTCATATTATTTGCACCATTTTGGTTTATGTCGTTAATCAATGGCTCAACAAAAAAACATTATTTATCCGGTATTTTAACTTCATCTACGGGGGAAGTGGTTCCATGTGGATATTTCTACCATTATTAACACTTAACATGCGTAATTTATATAACGGAATTGCCTATTTTAAATTTGGAACAGTCCATTCAAAGTCTAGGGAATTTCAATGTCAAAATACAAAGTGTGTGATACCAACAGTACATCGCCTCGTTTTGACTCAAAGCCTAATCACTGTTGGTTCCATAAAGACATGAGAGTGAATATGGGAAAACCACCGACAGTCAGTTAAGCTGATTTAAGATTTACTATGAAGAAAATGTCGTTTGATTGCTAAATATCTGCAGCTCTAGTAGTATAAAGTGGACAATTCAGAAATCAATATTCACGATATTAATGGTTAATGCAGGCTGGACGACGGTCATTTACATCTGACCCATGTGATGACCAATTCAGATGGATACCAAATGGCTGCGGTATACTAATATATTCGAACTAAAATCATAAAAATCCGATCACATAGAATTAACTGCTATCAGACATTCTGAGAGACTAACATTTTCACATCCGCTTAGCAAGTCTTAGCGTAAGCGGCCATAGATGAAGCCTGTCAGCTTCAACCGGCAGACCAACATGAGCTTCCGGCTCTCTCTGACTTTTGACAGGTGTAAGCTGCTCGACTTTACACTCTTTTTCTTGAATTCCCTGAAATAAATAGTGGACAGGTCCACTTTCAGAGCGTAATAAGACTATGAGAAAAGGTAAGGAGTGGTCAGTCAGTGATAGGCTGCTGACGATATATACACGGTATTTTATGCCAAACGAAAATGAGAGATACTTTTTGCAATGATACGTTCATGCTGTAAAAATGATAACGGACGGCGACTTTTGTTATTAGTTATCTTTATATCAAAGCAAATTAAACTGATTGTATGGTAAATGAATATGTCAACAAATCAGTTAGTTGTTTGATTAGCATAATAAAACAAATATGTGATAGCATAACATCAAAGTTTGTTCAGATAACGATTAGATGAACGGTCATTACACATGTTTCAAAAATACATAGGAAGTGTTGCTTTATGTAGGAAGTGTTGCTTTTTTTCGTATACTTTGTGTTGAAAAAACTCGTACTGTTAAACATTTTAAAATATAACAAGCATAAAATATAAAAAATCGACTGTGACAATATTCAGCGCGCGCAATGAAATGCATCAGACGAAAGAGTATCTGGTTCCCGCTTCTCGATTGTCAAAATTCATGCGGCGTTGAACGCGAGTTTAAAATGTAAAGAGTCTATCTGGAGCCGGGATCCATAACAATTTTATTTTTGTAAAGTACGAATATAGACCGTATACAGGTAACACTTTGCCTGTAACACTCCAATAGCATTATACTGTGCGCAGGAGATATATATTTTTGGTTCTTTAATACACGGCGCTATACATTGTAGATTAGGATAATTCCTTCGCTCTGTCAAGATTATAAAACCGGATTAAAGATTAATCTATGTATCTGATAAAATCAAACGAAATTTCCTTTTTCGTTTTAATGAAATATCGTTATATGATCGCTTGATAAAACGAATAACGTTCGATTTTAGGATATTAAGCAAACAGAAGTTTTGAGAGTCGCGCGTGAGTGTCGTGGGATACTATTGAAGACTATTTCAAACCGGCTGTGTGTTTTTGTTCGTTTCGGATTAGCGTAGACTTCATTTGGAATTATATCAAAACAAAAAAGAAAAATATTTAATGAAGAAAAATATTACTATGTAGATATATTTGACATGTAGGTGTCCAAAAAGGAAACGTTTTTGACGATGTGAAACCATATATTATTATAGCAACAGCAGACAAAATAGAACAAAGTTGATATATTTTAAGCACTCGTTTTTTGGAGTTATATAAATTCTGTGTTAATTATTTGGATTATTTATAAAAAAATTGGATTTACTCAGTAACTGTGGATTTTAATAAATTACAGAGGATGACCCAAAAGATGATCTTGACAAGCGTGCTCGCAGTTTTGGGATTGTGCACGTGCGCACGAGCAATAGCTGGTGGGTACTCATGTATGTATGCCTGCGTTTTTGTTTCTAACCGTTTTTACTTATATAGTGTTTGTTTCAAATAACCCAAATAAAAAGAAACTGCTTAAACTCCGAGAATCTAGTTTCGGATTGAAAATGAAATCCATTTTATTTAAAAAAAATATTTTAAATGTGTCTAAAACTCTTAAAAAGGGGAAATTACATCAAGTTTGAAATGATTCTCCAATGAAAGTAAATTTTCTTTAGTTTCGCTATAAATCAAAAGTATTTTAACTTTAGTCTAATGCATAAAGTGTTTATGAAAATGTCTCGGAGCTTAATTATGTTTAGGACAGGGCATTTTGTACATGTATTTTGTGTTGTTGTATTGCTCGAAGCTCACAAAGAAGCCAACGCTCGCTTTAAATTACATTTTTATAGCTTTGTTTTAAATGTTGAAGACTTAATTACGTGCGTTGCATTTAAACGTACGAATTTGAGACGTACGTTTGTAGAAAAGTTGCCCCTTAAGCGGGGAATTTATGCGCGTATAAATGGGTTTTAAAAATCCTGCAATATAATTTTAATGTGCTCATCTCTTTTTAGTGAGCGGACACGGGGTATAAAGCACAGATACACTGATGAATTTTATAATGCAAAACTATTTTATATTTCCATATAAACGATCATTTTCAAATATTCAAAATCTCGGTATCTACAAAATCATGTGAAAATATTTTGAACATGTGTTTTTGTTGGTTAAATTTCCCTTAAATAGTTTTTTTTCGTTTTTATAGTTCAAAACTTTATGAAACTCTGTACACGCCTTGTATGGGAATTTTAACATTTTGAAAATGGTTTTCTCTCTCTCACGTAACTTATCATTTCACGGTAAAAATTAAGACGATAGATAGCCACCTACGCTTAGAGCATTGTTTCAAAGGTTGAACATATCTAACGTAATAAAGAGTAATTCTGGTATGCAATAAACGAAAATCTTAAAAATTGCAAAAAGCAAATATTTAGATAAAACTGCTGAAAACTGGTATAGAATTTTATTTGAGGACATTTGAAATATGCTCGACGTTTTCCATCTAAAACGGGTTTACATTTTTTTTATTTTAAACGGCTCGATCTCTTTTATTTGTATTTTCGACATTAAATATCTGAAATTACAATAGTAAACATGATTTTTTCGATATGATTTCATGGAGTTTATAATTTCAAAGCCTTGAGACAATAATTATTACCCTATATATAATGAAACCATGATTGTATTTCTGCCCATAACGTCGTTTGAATATAGATTAATCTACATTACACGAGTAAATTTATTCATTAACACTCACGTGCAATTTTGAAATTCAGGTAAATCAATATTTAATTTATTTGTATAAATGTTAGGTCATTACCAGGCATGTACTTTTCATCCGCTATCATGAAAAAAAAATTGAGAAGGGCTTTAGAATTTTTTTATCAAACAAGAGCTATTCAGCGAGAATTAACTAATAAAAAGATTTGATTGTATTTCAGTGGGCTGTAGATACGTACATAAGAGTAACTGTTTAAACATTGTAAAATCAGTGTAAATACCAGAGGGGTATTCAAATAATTCAACATCCAAAATGTCTAGGCCTTTAATTAAACTGTCCCAAATTATTGCTTTTAAAGTGAAGGGTTACAATTGATTTATTTTCAAAAATATTTCGAAAAGTTGAAGCAACAGGTTAATCGAGTAAAGAGTATAAAATATTCGTTTTATTTGTCCCCAACGAACTACATCAAATATTTCACACACATCTCCTAAGTAATATTCTAATTTCCTGTATTTGTTTTATTATAGAAAATCTACTCCATGTTAAAGTTTTTTTTAAATTTATTTTTGTGTGGTAAAACATTTTTAGGCTACACAATACTATCGGCAGTAACAAAAAAGTAGGCGTCAGTGTACTAAATGTGATGTGAATCTTTGATAAAGATGTGTTCACATTTTTCGTATCTATTTATCAGCTTTTATCTTTACATAAGGTTGTTATTGTCTATTAAATTTTGTTTTGATGTTTTGCTCGCTAGCTATAAATCTATTTACCGTTAAACAAACTTTAACAGCATTGACAAAGATAAAAAACTTTATAACTTGAAGTTAATTTATTTTCATTCGTTTTTTTATCAAGCTGAAGAAAAATAATATAAAACTATAAAAAAAATTGAATCGAAAGAATGCTTTAATCTAGTATGAAGACATTATAGCTTTATAATTCATACATTTTGTATTCAGTATAACTCAATATTAACCGGAAGTGCATTTCTTTGCTGTTTTACTTAAATACATGTATATTACCTGCATGTATTGTCTACCAGAATTACACTGCGTAATGTTATCTTTTAAAGTGGTGACGGATGCATGAAAACTGTTGTGATATACATGTATTCTGGAAACATATTGTTATCGAAATGTTGTTTTTTAACAAGTTTTGCGTTGATGTGAGTTGTGCACGACAGATTTACAGTAGATGCACGTGTGCATTTATTTAGAACGACGGAGACACCTGTTTGTCATCGTTTTGACAAGTTTCTGTCGACATGAATCGTGTATGTAACTAGTGAATGGAAGAATTTACTAATATTTTCAGATTAAAGCTCTTCAGAACCAGTGTAAAAATCTTATTTTCGACGTAGTTTATTTCTTTAAAAAAAATCTTCTTTCGTCATGCCAGCAGACTGCTTTGATGTTTACATTCAGGTCAGGAAAATGTCGTTTGGTATATTTTTAAAAGAAGCGATGCAGAAGTATAATTTGCATGCTTTGTTCGACCTTGACATTTCTGAACTTGTGTAGCCGTCGGCAAAGGTATGATGACAGTTCTAAACTCTTCCTTGTTTTAGATAAACGCTTCTTCCAAATTATAACTGAAGTACGTAACATGCCAACACGTTAAATTTTACGAGACGAAAATTGATATGTAATTGAATAAACCGCAAGCCACAAAATAAATCAAAACGGTGCAAAAATAAGCTTCGAAAAGGAAAAAAATCGTGTGACAAATGTAAATGAGCAAGTGTATATAGTAATGTTTAATTACCAAGTGCAAAAAATTGTTAAAAAAGTGTAGTTGTTTTCATTAAGTGGGGGTTAGGGAGTTATTCCATTGAAAAAGCTAGTACTATTTTTACGATACTATCTCGATCATTCCGCCAGCGAGAATTCCTCTATCAGCATTTCCTATCCACTGATCTTTTTAGTTTAGTCAATTAGTTATTTAAGTGAATGAAAACTCCGTGTGAATGTTGTTTTAACCCGATGCTAAAGATTGCGTGACATTGGTACCACGCCCTGTGGTCGGAAAGAACATCTCTAGTGTCTATAACCTGCAGATTTTGTGGCATGGACCTCACAATATTCAGGGTATAAACGAATCAACCTTTTTTGTCATGATGTGCTATTCTCACGCAATGCACTGTTGAGATTTTTGAGGGGAAATGCAAAATTTAATTAGAATGAAACGCGAGATTTATTATTCACGCTCAAAAAAGTGTATTTAAAGTCGGCAATTGTCTGGGGGGAGATATTTAAAGTTTTAAATGTTATTTTTTTTCTCTCATGAATTATTTAATTATTCCGGAAAGAATCTGAAATAAGGAGATAAGTCATATTGCACTCATATTTCCTTTTATAGTTCCGTTTACTTATATCGCACTATTTCAAAGACTGTATTGTGCTCACGATTTCTGACATTTATTTGTAAGTGTCGTCTGCTATTTGTCTCTCTCAGCAACAACTATACAACTTGCATGCAATACTTCTAATCAAACCGAGTATCACTTGTTTATTTTTGATCATTCTACGTATGCGAGTATTTCAAATTACATGTCGTCTGCTTTAAACGTCAATATAAATTTTACGACAGCATTGTGCCATGAAGGAGTTTCAGATTGAAATAATTATTCAATTTATTGACAAAATTTGATATCTATGCAAAATAAACTATTTGCAGTACTTGTTTACCTTTTGTTAAGTACATATTTGTGGAAGGAACTTGATTCTTCATTGTGCCAAATGTGGAATTGTATAGTTAATCGAGTATTTAACAGGTCGAAATTAAACAGATGCGCGACTGTTTCTTGCGCAATTACTTATTATATCAAACGAGAACTCGCTCTAAATTAAATGTTTCAATTTTGACACATTTTAGAAATACCATACCATAATAAAATTCAAACCAGTCTTCGTATGGATGCGGTAAACTCTTTAAAAGCGTCTGGTTACCTTTTATTATGCATTACTTTATTCAAATTTCTCAAAATTGTTTAAGCTTTTCTGTAAGTAAAATACGAATATTTCAAGCGTGCATACTTGTTATGTTGCAGCCAATCGTGACGAAAGATAAGGCTAAAATATGATTGTTTAAATTTAGTTTAATGTATTTGGGGCTGTATTCCCTTACTCCAAAAGCATTCGTTGGTATTAAAGTATCAAAGGGACATGTTTTCTAGTGTTTTTTTTTAAACACATACATTTGTATTGGCTTCAATGAACGCAGTTACACTTTGTTTCAAAACCTTAACAACATAACATTTGAAATAATTACATAGATCAACTGGGGCACGTAACATAGATAATATAGAAAAATACTGAGAATTAAATCAAAACTCGATTTTCAGTGCCATTCTCATCCCGATTTGTATTAAAAGCGTTAGTACGCTTTTATGTCCCTTATTTAGCAAAATTCATTTTCATATATGCCTAATATGCAATGCTTTGCAAGCATAACATAGGAGTACATAAAAGCTGAATCATGTCTATTTATTCATGTGTCTTCAACTGCCCAACATTCATCAAATATAAATTATTTTAACTGATAATTGAGCCAGAATTCGCATCGTAATATTGGCCTCTTACAGTTACTCATTAAGATATCCCTATTTCATAGTGGAATGGAAACGATTCTGGGCAGAAAAACAGGCCAATAAAATAAAGCAATTACTTGATAAGAGATCAAACAAGATCGTTATGTTATTAGTATAAGGTG